CTATTTAGCTGCAGCACAGAGAAATTTAGGAGTGCAGATGGACCAAGGACATGTTTCTCAATCTCCTCCTTTCATATAAAGTCTCAAGAATATGCATCTGTTTCACAAGTGTGTCACTTGTGTGGACACATAAACATGCTCAGATATCTAAATATATGACCCCAGAAATAACTTCAGACTTACAGTCATATTCTAGGACAGCCACTGGATCAAGCACATAGATACACACAGTCATAGTCTTGGTATATAAGGTCACACACAGACATAGACACATACATAGCTTTACCTTGATATGGCTATGAGAGTACAGAGATACACAGAACAGATAAAGATGGACATAACAGATTCACATATAAGGATTATTGTATAGATACAATCCTAAGCACACAGGCTCACTTGCAGTAAATATATTCAAGGACTTACACCCAGAGAAACCTCCACAGAAGACATCCACGGGATAATTATTTATGATGCGTACTGGCAACATTTATATTTACAAAGAATTTCCACAAATCATTGTAAAGCAGGAAAGTTAACAAAAAGGCAGAACATATGAAAATGTCATTTAGGAAAAGAGGAAAAAGAAATGGGGATATGAAATACTTTTTTACCCCTTAAACTATTAGGGCTATCTAAAATAACCACACCATAAGATGCCATTACAATGTTTGTCAAATCCAAGCATTGTGAAGGATGTGAAAAATGGGAACAGATAGGGTGATAGTAGGGGAGTTGAAAAAAATCCTTTTAATTGCAAGTTGACAGTATTTTATGGAGGAGAATCTTCATTCTATTCCTTTGAACAAACTATGATGTGTGTATGTGTGTGTGTGTGTGTGTGTGTGTGTGTGTGTGTGTGTGCACATGTTCTATATAGTCTGTGGTTGTATATAGGATATATCATATATATTATACTTCCATATATTGATACTTATAATTCCCTATCATGCACATATGTACACAGAATTAAGTATGTACCCCTGGAATATGGCGGAAAACATTTCTGAGACATATCCATCCATGTGTTTGTTTACCTGTATATTTACATATATCCTAGAAAAAGTATTTACGTGAGGACCCATTTGTATGAATGATCAATGTAGCACTGAATGTTAAACCCAAAATAATAGGAGTAGCGTAAATGTTTTTGGCACAATAATAGCTAAATAATTGCTAGTTATATACATTCAAGGGGAAACCACACAAAAGGGAAAATTAATGATTTTAATTATATGATTCTCATTTAAGCCAAAATCTAAGTGGAAAAGAGAAATTGCAAGTGTACACATCTCAAATATGACAACATGTAGAACACAATAAGCCCATAAGAGGCTAGATCAGGCCAGTCTGTGCGGAGGAGGAGTTCTAGGCAAGAAAGGAGGGTGCCTGGAGCGGGCGGTCTGAAGGAGCCCTCTCTGCTGTCCTTAGCTGATCCAGCAGCCAGTGCTGCTGTCCTCTTGTCACAGCTGCCCCTGGGTGGGGGAGGGCAGCTTCCGTGGATTCCTGTGAAGGAAGCTACTCACTTGTGGTGACAGAACAACATCTGAAGAAGGATGAAGGCTGTGTCTGCTCTGGCAGGCGAAGGAAAAGAAGAGTCACCGACCACTTTTCGCTCTTGCTGAGCATGTTACCACGGCAACAGGTTCGGAAACTCACGGCCCATTCACCATCAGATGAACAAGCACTCCGTCTCGTTTGGGTGTTGCAGTGGTTCTCTAAACGGCTCTCCCTTTCTGCCATCTGCAGTCTGACTCCTTCACATCAGGTGAATCTCCTAACGATGCACTCCTCACCACGTAAATCCAGTTTTGTTGTATCTTTTGTATAAGGTCCAGATTCTGTTCCCGGGAACATCTGGCTCTGGCTTGCCTCCTGGTCTTGCCGTCTGCTCACTGCACACGTGTTTGCTGAGAGCCTGTGTTGTGCAGCCTTGTTGCCAGCCCTGGGGAGTGGAGGAGGGCAGAGGAGTGAGGGTGCTCTCCTCACACTGCTGTTGTGCCAGGGGCGTGCAGGCTACAGCACAAACAAGGGCGTGAATGGGACATAAGATAGAACAAGAGTGCCCCTGAGTAATGAGGGACATTAGGGCGATCAGAGAAGAGCCCTATGAAGAGGTGACATCTGAGATGGGACCAGAGAGAAGAGAAAGGGTAAGCAGAGGGTAGGATGTCTCGCTTGCTTTCTTCCTTACTTTCTGGCCCAAATGGTTGCTTCGCTTAGCTCTGCTCATCTACCTAAAACACTGTTATCTTAATCTCTACCCAGGGGAGCTCCTTGCTATTGACATGTTGCATCCTTGATGAATCCTTACCTGTTCCCCTCAGCCAAGCCATCTGTCTTACTTCCTGTAATGGCTTTAGCCTTCATAGTACAGTCTTCTCAATTTCAGTCCTGGCTCTCCAATTTACACATGACTGAAGCTCATTGGAATAAGGTCAAACACACAATGGGGCGATGTATTGGTTTTGGTAAGCAGGGGTAGACAGGGTCCAAGGGGTGACTGTCCTGCAATCTGTCAAACTGGGAGCTACTTTTTGAAGTTGCTTTCTGTTAGTCTTTGGTTCCTAAAAGCATTGCTCCAGAAATGCTGTTCTACCCTAGCAGCAGCTGAATCCAGCCTGCAATCCTTGTAGACTTGCAGAGCCTTCCTCACCGTCTCCTCTTACTACACAGCTGTCTGCGAGACACCAGCCTGAGTTGCCTGGCATCTGATCTTCAGAAGCCCAGGTCTACATGACCCTCCTCCAAATCCCACCATACCAGTACTGTGAAGCAAGCAACCTCTTTTCAGAAACTGCGCCTGACCAGTGTTCTTCTCTTTTTTATATTTCAAAGTATTGGTAATTCCAAATATTTCCCTTGATCCCTTAGAATAGGAGTGCTTCTTGTCTACCTGCAGTATACATGGGTGTCCCTTTTCTTTTGGAGCATTCAGTTTCCTCTCTGTAACTTTATACCTAGTGAGCAAGGCTGCATATTAGATTGGATCTGTTGAAATAACAGAAATGGTGGTTTCTGTCTCCAAACAGCTCCTCCCTAATCCAAAGGAACATTCTCATACATTCTCAAAAGTAGGGTCACTTCATGTGGAAAGAGAGTGTCATATCTTGTAAATTTCTAACCAAGTCCTAATACTGACTGTTTTCTATATTCTATATTCTATTGAGTAGTGAATTGAGTTCATTCATCCTAATAACTTACATTTGTCTGTCTCTGAAAGCATTGGGAAAAGAACATATTTTAATCAGTCTACATGAGGTTTGGTTTGAAACTCAAACCTGCCTTTCTAGACCTTCTATTTAATTTTCCTACCATCCTAATCTATTGAAGTATTTTTTTCCTCAATTTTTCTTGCTTATCTATTACATAACTACAGGATAAATACCCAGTTCTCATGTATGATATTCCATTTATCACTCTGGGGAATGTTTTTGCTCCCAATGTTAATGACACACACAACACACACAAAATCCTTCTAGGACAACAGTTTTTTTGTGTGTGTGCTGTAAAAAAAAATTAGTTGCAATATTTGCTGTTTGAAATGTTCAGCCTATTAGCATAGAAAAGAGAATCTATGTTAACAGAAAAAATAACTGTCTTTCTTATGGGATGGGAGAGGACCTTACATTCTCTTGTTTTAAAACAATACAAATATTTAACCTTATACTTTTCATTCCATCCCTAAACCAAAACATCACATTTGCTTCAACACTGTCCAATTTATGGCACTTTCTTTGCCCATGTTAACCATATATCCAGTGTTTCTCTACAGCTGGGGCCAGGATGAAAGCAGCAAGGCCAGCTCAGTGGGATTTGCAGTAGTTCCCCCTCCTTGCTGACATTGATGGAGGAGTCATGGTTAATTACTGGGCCAGCTCCTGTGTCTTTCTTTCAGGCACAAAATCTGAGTAGAGATGATTAGAAACTTTCAAAGTAGTGACAGGCTTAAGCCAATGTGAGTAACACATAACTAAGAGAAGACAGAAGTTGGGAGATAAAAGCTCATTTGGTCTTAAAAGCTGACTTAGAAAATATATCTATTTTTATGTTGTTTGTATTCTTAAAGAGATGGAATAGAGGAAAGCATGGACAGATTTTGAAGTCTGCTGCTATGCATGAGTGAGATTGAATATGAGAGAAGTTAAGAATGTTTGCTAAAAGCTGTGAATTGGATTCCCAACTGGTAGACACAAATAGGCATTGAAGAAAAGAAATAATTTTACTCAGTTACCTATGGCTGTCATCACGAGATTTTTACAGACTCGCATGAAAGGTTCCTTGCTTTGATACATTTTATGTTGTTAATTTCGTGTTTTTCTGATTGCTCCCATTCTCAACACAATGGATATGTCTGGAACACGAAGGCTAAGCCTCCCCTGTAGTGCCTGTGTCCATGACGATTGAAAAACGATTTTGTCATCATTACCCACCTATATATGGTCAGTTTCTGCAGCGCAGTGGTTATCATGTTCGCCTCACACATACATATGGATCACGTCTTGTCAGCCACCTCCTACGCCATGGTTTGTACACACCCAGCCTTTGATACTCACACACAGCAGAAATGAAAGGGCTCCATTCACACTTCTGCTATTTAAGAGAAAAGAGAGGTTTCCAGCTGTCCAGTAATTGGGCCCCAAGTCCTGTACCTTTAAAATACATTTAGTAAATATAATCAACCAAGAATGTTGTGGTACTCGGGCCTTTTCATTTTCTAGGAATCATTACACAGTCGGCACTCTAGAAGGCATCTCATCAGTCCATGCTCTTCCATTCTATTGTAAAAGGAGGCATCAGAGGCTGCAGGACGGACTTGGCTTTTAGCCAGTGACCTTGGGTCATCGTGCAGGCTCTCTGTGTCCCTTGGTTGAAGAACTGGGATCTTATCTATTTTCCTCATTTTTTTGCAGGTCCTGTTCCACCCTCACCTTACCCCATTTTCCCCAAAGTGCAAAAGATGGCCAGGACAAAAGTCAAACATCTTTTTTTGCTCTTTTTAGGAGGAAAGGAAACTGAAGTTACCAGAAGAAATGACTGCCGTGGAGATTAGGTATTCCTACGTATTTTTATTTTATTGTTTATTGTCCAGGAGAGAAGTACTTTATCTTGTCACTGGTTAATTTCTACTCATCAGGAATTTAGTTTATTTTTTTGTGGGGGAGTGATATGCTGGGAACCAAATCCAAGGCTTTATGTACAGGACTTGAGTGTGCCACCACTGAGCTGCAGCTTCTGGGAATTTTCTTTTCTTTTGTTTTATTTTATTGTTTGGTTTTTTGAGACAGGGTCTCACTATGTAGTTGAGACTCACCTGGAACTCACTGTGTAGCCCAGGCTGGTCTCAAACTCACAGCGATCCTCCTGCCGCAGCCTCCCGAGTGCTGGGATTACAGGCGTGCATCACCATGCCCGGCTGGGAATTTTCTTTTGTATAATGAACACTGTGCTGCCCACTGTGCTGGCTCTATAATTCAGAGCAACAGAAGAGACACAGTAGGGCACCTCTGTTGGGAGAGAGTGACATACTTAAGTGGCTGAGAGGGTCACTGAGTTGCTTGAGGGTAAGGCACTTGAAATAGCAGCACAGGTTGTTAATTTACTCACGTACAAACACATGAACACGCACATGCACGCGCACACTCATGGGAAGAGGGAAATGGAGAAAGGAGGGGGTTATAGGTGTCAGTAGCTACAGAGATACAGAGCAGTGTAAGGGCCGAAGTCAAACTGCTGTTAGATTGGCAGTATAATTTCCCCAGATTCCTTTAATTTCTTAAAAATTCACCATTGATCCGCAATGATCCTGGGTAGGCAGCAGGAGATCACTAAATCCATATTAAAATGAATAGAGTTTGGGTCAAAAATAAAGAAAAATTAAGATAAAATAATTTCCACCCTTACTCAGATTTTTAAGATTCTCCCATGGAGGTCACCTGGAGAGACATGGTGACAGCTTTGTTTAGGGTGATATCCAGAGGAGGAGTGATCAGATTAAGAGATGATTCTTTTTTTTTTTTTTTTTTTGGTACTGGGGATTGAACTCAGGACCTTGCACTTGCAAGGCAGGCCACCGAACCGCCGAGCTAAATCCCCAGCCCTAGGAGATGATTCTTGAAATAAATTTTAGCTCTTCAATTATGCTCCATGAAAGAGGGGGAGAAGAAATGACTTGTAGTATGCATCATTGCTCCACCCTCTGTGTGAATAAGCAATATCTCCTTCAACTCCTACTCCTTTATCAAAATTGCTCCTCTATTGGACCTTGAAATTGGACCATGTATCTTCATCATAATTTGTATGTTTGTGGGTTTTCTATGCATCCAAGTCCCGTGCATTAGAGCACAAACAGACACACAGATCTTACTGATGAAGCTTGGGTTTCCTCTGAGGCTTTGGTGGGGCTAAAGCCTGGATACTTTGGAGACCTCTTGTTTATCTGAGGACACCTAAGAGGGTGGCCTGTGCTCTTTCATAGTTTGAGGGGTCTATTTTCTAGTGCTTAAGACATTTTGGAAGCTGTAGTGGTGGGATTCATAGTGCCACTTGGAATTCGTCTTGAAACCGGCCCCTCCTCTTGAGCGCCCTCTCATTCAGAGTCTGACAGTGAGAAGTGGTATTCATTTTGTTCGCCAAAATACCTGGCTCCTGCATGTCTCTCTAAATTTTGCTTTTCTAATTCAAAGTTCTCTAGCATTCCTCTTAAACATTCAGTTGGCTAATTAAAAGAAATGAATGATCACTTTAAACATTTTGCTTTGAAATCTTGTTAACTAGACCCACTGGTTTATGGGGTATATTTTATACCTTTACATAAAAAACCAGTGATACTGCTTATTTTTCTGCCTTTACACAAAAGAACCCCCTGATGTCTGGCGTCCCACAACTTCAAGGTCACATTGATCCCTTGTTGCCCACTGCCAATCAGGTTCGGGACCACACTGTTTTCACTTATAGCCTCTGTAAGGTTCCTTTCCATTCTGCCCATTGTAGATTCCACAGTTCCTGTGACATATTTTAGGTTTTGTATCAGCGCTCACCCTGTCTGTTATGAGTACATCAACACCAAGAAATAGAGAATAATCGCAATCATTTTGCTCCTGAATATTAGGACCAACTGGACTCTAAGGGGCAGCTCTCCCAGAGCTCACCCTAGCATGGCTTCAGATGGTAGTGGGTGTGGAGTTCATCTCCATCCGCTGCCTTCTTCCGGCACATGTCTGGCTCCTGGTCTGGGACCCAAACAAGTTAGAAGCTGGAATAGCCGAGGAAGTACAGTATCTCTTCTGTATCCATCCATCCATCTCTGTTATCTCCATGTGCTGTTCCACATGGCAGCTTAAAGGTCGGTTGTCTTGTCCTTTGATGGAGAAAAACTCCAAGAATAACCATTACTAGAAGAACTGGGAAAAGTTTCTCAATCTTAGCTCTCTTGAGACATTAGTCATCAATTTTATTATCCAAGGCCATTCCAGAGGGCACTGTGACTTTAAGAAGAGGAGATATAAGCTCCAGCGTTTAATGCGAGAAATACCAAATAATTTGTGGCTACAAAAAAATCATCACAATAATCAAAAAGTAGCTTTAGCTAACTTTTTCTTCCAAGGAAATGGAAACTGTTTAAAATTGATCGCTGTGATACAATGTTTAATACTAAAACATACTTAAAATGTGTAATGATTGTAAAATAGGAGAATTCTCAAATATGTAATGCTATGTGAATATAATGGGTCATTGTATACCATTAAAACTTCAGTTTTGGGGCTCTGAGGTTTAGCTCAGTGGTGCTGCTACCTGCTTCTCAAGGCACAAGGTCCCAAGTTCAATTCCCGGTACCAAAAACAAAAACAAAAACACTTCTGGGCTCAGGATTTGGCTCAGTGGTTCTGTCATCTGACTCGCAAGCACAAGGGCCAGAGTCTGATCCCGGGTCCAAAAAAAAAAAAAAGTAATAAAAAACAAAAGTCTAGTTTTGAAAAACTTACTTATATGTGAAATTGCCCAGCTTATAATACATCCTGCGAGATAAATCAGGGTGGCAGGTTATGTAATAAAAGTACCATCTCACAGAAGGGAACAGAAAATAATGTGTTCCTATATGCATACAGTGAAAGAAGGGGGAAAAAGAAGGAAATACATAAACCACAGCCATCATTTCTAGGGTGTGAACTTATCAGTTAATATTTATTTCTACTTCTGTATTTCCAAATATAAGCAAAAATAAAACAGAGGTTCTGAATAATCTGTGTAAGGTTCAAAGTGCAGGTAAGTGGGTTTTCACTGGAATCTAACTGTGCAGCCCTATAGATTTGCTGTAACGCTGCTGCTCCTGGAATGGGAAGGGCCGGGCTCTCAGTCGCTGTAGTTAGAGCGCTTGCTCTGTACCTTTCTGCAGCCCGGGCTCACGTGTGCACGCCTGCTGCCGCGCACCCGCTCTCCCTCCCCGGGCCATATGCAAAGCCCAGGAGTATTGTGTCTGTGCTTTAAGATGAATGTTTATATCCACGTCCCTTGGCCTTAGAGAGCAAGGACTTGCTGTCTTTAAGATGTTCCTTATCTGATGTATATATCTGGCGGACATGTTAACTGAACTCAGTGGACAATTTGTTTTCTTTTTTCTTTTTCTTTTTGCATCAACCTCCGCAATAGCTACGAGTTGCTTTCAATTTGCAATATTTTCTTGCTTGAGGGGCCTTGCTCTACCCACACCAACCTCATGCATGTACCTGTAGATGGAACCAGTCTTCATCTTTTCCTGGATGTGAGTCCAAAAAACTAGATACAATTCTCTTTTGTTTCAGGTACTTTAAAACAGTCTGGCAAGGTCAAAACATAGTTGAAAGGCTAATCAGAACTCAACCTGAAATTGAGAAGTCAGCAAGGTGTTTTCCATAAAGTCTAATATTCCACTATTGGGCCTCTGTTAACAGTTTTATTGTCAGGTGCTAATAAGTTTGGCAAGGGGGCAGTTTTCCATTGCTTTAACTGAATAAAGATGGGGATTAAAAAGTCTCAACTCTTTAGCCTCTACCAGTTTGTCACTTCAAGCCCTTTCATTGCTTTAAAAAATTGAAAGGCCCAGGGACTCAATGAAACCCACTAAGACCAGACAGACGCGGGTAAGCAGAATATTTTCAGAATCTCTGGGGCGGTTTCTGTTCCTCATTTCAGTTTGTCTTCCCTTTTCCTCTCCTTTTTGCTTTTTTTCCCAGAAAATTTCTATTTGCCCAGAGTCCCATCAGTTTTAGCCTTAACCTGGTTACAGCCCCAGAGCACCCCTAGAAATGAGATCCAGGGGGAAATTTAGGGAGGTCAGTTTTCCAAAGAGCACAGGTTTCTGAGTCACCGCTGAGACAACATGAAAACAACTAGCAGACGTGTGCGATTGTAGATTACTCTGCATTACCCGCTGCATTACCCGCTGGTCTTCACCTGATGTTAGGCCTTCTCTTATTTTCACACACCCAATATCAGGAGATGAGTTGTGTGAGCAGTATCATCTCCATTTTACAGAGGAGAAAGTTGAGGCTTGGAGGAATCCAGGGACTTTTCATCCCCCGTCTCCAGAAATCGTTTTGCACACACTGGCCCAAAGCTGTTGACGCACCACAGCCTGACTCCAACTTCCCGCTGCTGATTGGATGAAGTCTAGATTCTGGAGTGTGCCTCGGACATTTCCCTTGTTCTAACTATTCACACTCTTATAAGTATAATCTTGCCACTGATACTGTGGTACTTAGCCAGTATCATCTGTTAGTAATGCGTGGACCACTCACTATGATACATGTGCTTAGTGCTTTATATAGATGATCTTATGCAAGAGAAATATGAGGGGTGACTGCTTTTATGATCACCAGGTCACAAATATATTTTCACACACTCATTGTAGAAATATTTTTTTTTTTGAGTTTATTGGTACATTTAGGGATACAGTACAGTTACATTCATTGTTGGGATCATGTACCTTTACATGGCAAGTCTTGATTCTCATTTTTTTCCCCTTACCTCTGCCCTCCCTTCACCCCCTCCTCCCCTCCCCATCTACAAACACTT